CAACAGAACACAAGCAAAGCATTTTTATTTTAACAAAGAGTGATCCTTTTTCAGAAAATGTGAAGAATATTCTTTCAGATTTTTTGTATCAGTTAACATGATTTTGATATTTACCAAAATATTATGCAAACAACAGTTTGCATAATATTTTGGTAAATATCAAAATCATAGATAATCACAGTACACTAAACAGAGTGTAGATACAAGCCCTCAGTTGTATGCACAGCTAAAAACTGTTTTAACCCGGATTCAGAGTTGAAGCTTAAACCAACAAGCACAAGGGCCAATCTACCAACTGAGCCACTGTTGCCTTAATAATTTAAAAAGGTGAAAAAAGAAAAAAAAGAGAATTCCTCCAATCACCGGTTGCAGAGGTGTCCAAACTGGTCCAGAAAGGGCTGCTGTGGCTGCAGGTTTTCTATCAGACCCAGCAGGAGCAGAGCAGACTCCACCCATTTAATCAAATCTTCAGGTTAAGACTTAGCCTGGTTGTACCACACCATAGTACAAATTTCATTTCATACTAAGGTCTGGATTTGCTCCATTGAGCTCCGTGAACAGGTGGGGGGGGTTAACTCCTTTTGCAGATTGAAACGATTGGATCTGAGTTTACCGTGACGTATGTAATGCGCCCGAGTGAGTTGTTAGCATTAGCATTTAGCCTAGCCATCTCCTTTGCAGCTAACGGAGCCCGTGGGGAGTAGCGCCACAATCTTGACCAGCGATTACATTTGCTAAACATTACCCTGGCATTATCTGGCTTCAATTTCTTGATAGAACCAGACCCGATTACTTTACTATCGCATTTTTCGCCATTGCCAAACTACAACCTGCCCGTTCGGCGCAAACTCTTCTGTTCTGCTCCTGCTGGGTCTGAAAGAAAACATGCAGCCACAGCGGCCCTTTCTGGACTGGTTTGGACACCTCGGGGTTAGAGGGTTCGAATCCACCTCCAGGCCTTTCTTTGTGGAGTTTGCATGTTTTCCCTGTGTCTGTGTAGGTTTCCTCCAGGTGCTCCACATTCCCCTATACCACTATAAACATGTACAATAGGTCAGAATGAGTGAGTGAATCGATGGTGTTGATTGGGGCTTTGCACTTTTGATGTGTTTTTCGCTTCCATCGTCCCCGTGTGGAGAGAATGGAACAATATCCGAACTCGGAACATTGTAAAGCACTTTGGACAACCTTGGTCTGTAAAATGCGCAATATAAATAAACACTACCTACTTACTTACTTACTAAATACCTGTAGTTCCTCCTTCTCAAAAGGATTTGATTCAATCGCTGGTTTTCACAATCGTTTTTTTGGCCTCCGTCACTTTTTTAACAGCTTCAAAAGAGAGGACCACCCTCACTCAGCCAATCAGCTTTCAGCCCTGAACAACTAATAATGACTCACAGGACACTTTCTTACAAGTATGCAAAAGCTAAATTGTTTTCTATTAAGATTAAAACAGTGGGTCATGGTTGGATTTGTTCACAACATTTTACTTTTACTAGAATTTTCTGTTAGGACAAAGAACATGTATTATTCATGGTACGTTTAAGATACTTTGTAGAGCATTTGTTGGAGTTGGGATGAGGCTTAATATCAAAAGTTATGGGTCGGTGTGTACATATGTTGCAGAGAAAGCTTTGACAGCACAAGCACAGTCCTTTACTCATGGGAAGAGGCTCTCCGCAGTCACAAATCCTGCTGTGGTCATTAGGTTCTCTGTCCAGCAGCGAGCCTGTATACTGGACTGTACTCTGCATATATTCATGTGCAAAAGGGAGGTGGCATTTCACTGTGCGCTGGAGCCAACAAATCAGAGTCCCACTATACGGCTGCAAGAATAATCGCAATCCAATCCATGTTTGACAAGATGCACTTATGGGAATGTGAAAATGAGGGCTAGAAATGCAACTGCCTGAGAAAAAAAGAGTAAAGCAGCACATTCAGATAAACAAAATATAGGACTTTTTTTTTTCCTAAACACTTATACTCTCTAGTTTTAATTAGGGTCACGTTTTATAGCGGGACCATAAGAATAAAATAGACTTGTGATCTACTATTGCATCAGGAAAGTGGCAGCTGAAAAAGTTTGCAATGGCCATATTTTTAGTGTGCGTACATGCATTTAATTTAATAAAAATACTTTGTAAACCAATACAAGTCAAGTTCCATCTGTTTCATGATTTATGAGGAAAAAGTCTGTGTGTATATATTGATATTTAAAATGAATTGTGCTATTAATCGCTTATTAACCGAGCGCGAGGTCTGTATGGAGAAATATCAGACAGAGTAATGTACAGACCGAGCCGTGGCAAGGTCTGTGCAAAACGGCCAAGGTCTGATATTTCTCTGTACAGACCGAGCAAGCGAGGTTAATAAATGTTTTGACTCTCGTCTGTGTCTTTACCAATGCTTTTGAGATATTTGTGAAATTTGTTCATGTCTGACTTGGTTTTGTGTGATACGCGCTGCGGACAGATTGTCATGGTAACGGTCCGAGGAAAGATATCAAATGTGATACGCGTTGTTCGGACCAATTGTCATGGTAACGGTCTGAGATGGGAAAATATCAGACCGGTAATCAGCCAATCAGAGCGCGCGTACGGTCCAAGTCATATAATATAATAGCTTATTAAATTATTCAACATTATCTTATGGAAAGATCTAATGTTTTGGTTTCCTCGAATGTTTCCCACGTTCTTGCAGCGCCTGGCTTTTGAAAATTTGTTTTAAGTATATTTTGACCTAGTGAGGCACTCACTCCCCCCGGACTTGTATTGTAGACCTCATCGCAAAATATTTGTCAGAAAAAATGCAAATAATTATTTTGCCTAAATCATGCAGCCCTATTGGGTAACAATAATATGGATAATACTGATATAGCCTATCAGTCTTTTCAAATGTGTCAATCCCAATGCATAAATCTTCCTTTTGTATAATTGGATTGACAGATATTCACAAAACGTTATTGTTTCCACCGATAACCCTTCGCATCCTTACATCTATAGCTCCAGCAGCAGCACTTTCTCACTGTCTGATTAAGCCATGCCAGACTTCTATAGGACGGGTAATGGAGCGCAGCCAAAACATTTCTCCTCAGGGTCGATGGGCCGTGCACACTACAAGCTATTAAAGCGTACGCCGAGGGCTGGGTGTGAGAGTGAGAGTGTGCGAGCAGCAGCAGCAGCAGCAGCATCAGCAGGGGCAGGGCCAGGCTGCTGGGTAGAGCCGCATCAGTCAGAAACACCAGTGCAGAGCTGTGGTTTTGCAGCAAACCGAAAGTGTTCATTCATGTTGTGAAAAACTGACTTTTAGGAGCTGTTTCAACATTGTTCCATCATCAAAAACGCACATGGAGTCAGGGACATACACAGGGTTTTTACAACACCACAGTGATGGAATGTATATTGTTGAGTTGATTAGTGTCTGTCTATCCTTTACTTACTACTCCAGGCTATTCTGAAGGGGAGGGAACTGTAATAATTGTAAATGAACTTGTACGCTGTATAGACACATACACAAGGGACTGTATCCGCCACCACAATGATCAAAATGAGTGAGTTGCCTTTGATTTTTATAAGTCTGGTTTTCCGTCTGCTCTTAAATGCATCTGCTGGCCTCGTACCATTAGGATCCTTGTCATAACCTACACAATATATGTCAGGAGAGAATGTCCAAGCAATGGGGAGGGAGCTGATTTATCCATTCAGGAAGGAGGGGAATGAGTATGGCCGGGTCCAACCGGTGCTTTCATATCAAAAGACAAAATTGCGTATTTAATAACCTTGATTTAGTCTTAATTATGTAAATTCTTTCAAAAACAGGTGGCTGGATTGTTACACATGGGTCAAACTTTGAGCATTGGTCAAAAAGCCTTTTCTTTCAAAATCACCAACTCATGTGTGACCTGGCCTCCCAGCGGTTACAGCGAGATTCCAACTTTGCCTTTATCTCTATTTTTAGACATATGGTGCGTCTAAAAATAACACTTGCAGACTTTAATTCCGCACCGGACGAAACAGCAGACAAAACAAAGCGTTCCCAAAGCTCCATTGTTTTGATATTGTGCTAAGGTGACCCGGCTGGTCCGCTGTCCACTGACCTGATTAAACACGTGCGTATATGTGCGTGTGTGTGCGTGTGCGTGTGCGTGTGCGTGTGTGCGTGTGCGTGTGCGTCTGTGTGTGTGACAGAGAGAGGTGGGTGTCCTTAGTCCAGGTGCAGTTCCCGCGCCGTAATCCCGTAATGTTCTTAATCCCAGGGGTCACATTAAAAAGTGGATGAGAAATTAATCTGTGGCAGCTCTGTCAGGTATCGGCCCAGACTTTTCCACCAAATCTGAAAATACGCACACCAACACCTGTGCCGAAAATAGTGTCCCAGGCCCTGCTCGCTAATGCCAGAACGCACCAGCCACCAACCCACTCCAGGACCAGATTAACACCAGAAGACCGGGGGGGGGGGGGGGCTTCAAAGGCTCAGACGGATTTCAGTGTAATTCAAGGATCACAACTGTTGGTTTCATGGTCAAATTTAGTGTTGAGAATATATGAATTTGGTCTGTGTCTTATATAGTATACCACTAATCATATTGTACACTACTACTTATTATCGAAATCCACCCATGGATAATAGTACAGGCCTGATCACAGGTTTGCGGACCACTTGAAAAAAAAGAACATATTTTGCAGGGCTTGAGAAGAAACCCTAGTAAGCTAGAAGTAAGTAATCTTTATTTATATACCGCCTTTCACAGACCAGAGTCACAAAGCGGTTTACAATTGTTATTTTTTGAGGCGCATGCCAGACCTATTGTACATGTTTTTAGTGGTAGGGGTAACCGGAGCACCCGGAGGATACCTACGCAGACACGGGGAGAACATTCATACTCCACTCAGAAAGGCCCTGTTCCGACCTGGATTTCTTAATTAAGTAAAACATAAAAAAATTCTGTCCAAATGAAATGACTACAAATGAAATTCCCTGTTCCGTTTTGTCTCACAATGGTAGTGTCTTCACTGTTGTCCCTGGAGGCGGCTGGCTTCAGGGCGGCGGGTCAGCCTCAGATAGCTCCACAGCGCGGGCTCTCTTGGCTCCTCTCTCGGCTCCTGTGGATCTGGTGGTCACAGCTGCTCCCACGCTCCTCTCACATCACAGCGCTGGTCCCAGACCCGCGGCCCTATCAGCCCTCAGCACACCACTCTCTGCTGTAACATGATTGAGCGTGGATGAGTGGATCAAAGGAGACTTTTGGAGTTTGGTGGGTTTGAGAGAGAGAAATTAGGAAGGCATGATGTGGTTTGAATTCTTTCTGTTCAGACCAATTCGATGGTCCAATCACTTTTGCAAAATGCTCCTGTGTTGTGTATGTAAAGAGAAAAAATACTTAATAGTCACATGAAAAATATCCGTTTTTCAGGTCACAGCATTGTTTCCTCATCAAAAGACTTCCTCCTGGTGAAAATTAGGAGACTTCTGGTACAAAGCTTCACAAACTTTCAACCCTTTTGTCCGCATGCTCATATCTCATTTTAGAATATGCTGAATAATCAGACTATAGAGTTTTAAAACACAGCTGTTGCCTCCAAATTACTTTTGGGGATTTCTGCATGGTTTTCCATTGATTTAGAGATATAGCAAATGTCTGTATATGTTACAGCTGTGGTACTCCTACTTTTGTTTCATAAATAATATATTCATGTTGTTTGTCATAACAGTTTTATGTAACAAATGTTGTGTGTTAGTGCCATGAGAACCAACTCGGGCTCTGAGGAGCACAGGGACTGATGTAGCCTTAGCCATCTGTAAACTCCAGTCAAATATTATTACCCTACATGTACGTCTGGGTCTGATTCGAGTGGATGCGGTTTCCTCGGATATATCTCCTGGAACCATACAGAGAGTGAGGGAGGCAGGTGTTGCAGGTAGGCGTCGGTGACGTCAAGAGTTTGTGCCAAATTTGCTGGTTGCAGTTTGGCAATGGTGGCGAATTCGATAGTAAAGTAATCCGTTCTAGTTTAGCTCCAAATATCAAGAAATTTAAGATGGAGCATGAAGAATGTTTAGCAAATTGCTGGCAAAGATGTTGTGGCTCCACCCGCCACGGGCTCCGTTAGTGGCAAAGGAGATGGCTAAAGCTATATGGTAAATGCCTCTCTCACTCGGACTGATGTGGATTGAGGCAGCATTTCAGATATAAAGACATTTATTATCATTTATGGACATCGGCCATCTGCCTCTTAGGGACAAATGGCTCCATTTGCATTTGTTGTGTTTGAACTGTTTGATTTTCTGATCTGTGTTGGTGAATTGACAACGTTGTAAAGTCATCCGAGACGACTGATGTTGTATGAAACCAAGGTAAATAGTGTAGACTTTTACTTTCATATCAGACCATTTAAAACCTTCCATTAAAAATGATGCTTCTGCCCAGAATTGGTCGTGGGGATTGGAAACTGCACACTTTGAGAATAGAGCTGGAGCCATTTAGCTCTATTGACTGTGTATCCACCCAGGCAGAGCAAACAGAGGCAGCAGTCGCCTTCATCTGCTGAACGCACAATAAGAAAACTGTGCATTTTTTATTGTTTGTGCAATGGAAGAGTCTATCGATTAACTGTAGCCGTTCTGTTTAATTACCACCATGGATTCACACAAGCACATTTCACACTGACTTCCACATCTTGTTCAGAGGGTGATTTTATAAGGAGGGGAAATAAAGCCTCATGTCAAAGTTCCATGTTCATTTTCCTTCATTTATTGAATTTTTTGTTTTCGTGTTCATACAGGATTCAGTTTTTTGACCTTTCAAATGCAGACCATAAACACACTTACACACATACATAAATACATAGATATACATTTTCCTCTTCACCCTTATAGAGAAGTAGGACTTATTTGTATATTCAATTTTGAAATAAATGATTTTGTGCGGCTCACACCAACTGGCCTCCTCCACGGCCTCATGAGCCTGTCAGTTGTCCACTTGTCCAAACTAAGGCCAACAATGTCAGAAGAGCTGCACCTTCTGACCACTGGAAATGCTGATGTGTTACATTCAGCAGTTCTTACATGTTTCTATTGGTTAATTAGTAAAGCTGTGGTTCCTATTGGATGAATAGACTGTCATATAAAATAAGCATACTGTAAATACTTTGTCAGTCCAGGCATCAAAGACTTGAATCAGAATCAGATTTCTACTTAGAATTATTGTATTTCCATTGTCAGTAATGTTAAGTCACAAACTAGGAATTTGATTTGGCTCATGGTGCAAACAAGTTATAAAAGTAAAAATAGATTAAAAACGCATTAAACAAAACTTCATTCACTTTCTGCCATATACAAGTGCACACTAGGTACACACAATAGACATTGAACAGAGCAAGGTAAAATGATAGATTAGCGTAACGATCGTGAAGAGCTGGGGTCTTGCGGTGAGTCTCCAATCTGAAAATCCTTGCATCATTGATTCTTTGCCCATCTTATATCTTACAGGCCAACCACTTATGTGCATTTTTGGTAAAATCAGGACCATTACTTCAAATGGCTGGTGCTCTGTATACTGGGTGCAGGTCTGACTGCCACCCCCCGACTCAGAAATGGATTAAGGGGAAGAAAATGGATGGATGGACGGACTTCAAATCTGTTTTATTCTTAGTGGTTTGCATGAATCCTGATACATGAATGCATTCTTGTATCTCTAGGTATTATTCACCTTTTTATTCTCTAAGTTTCCATCAGTACATCACTGTCTCCTGTCAATCTGGCATTAGAAGGAGCCTGGATATCCAAAGAACTCAATCTACTAAACTGTATACCAAACGTCTCAGTACAATTTCCGATCATTTTATTGGAAACTGGATAATCTGATAATGTGTGATCATACATTTCAAGAAACCAGTGTCATTTTTCTCAATTAGGCAGATAAGCTAAATTGTCTGAGCGGGGAACGGTTACAAAGTGATAGCAGTGAATAAGTTGTATATAGGATTCTAGCTTTAAGAAGACATCTTGACATTCCAAGGTAAAATAACACATTTCGGAGTATTAATCACTTTGTATAACGCACAGCTCACACAATGGGTCTCTCCAAACGTTCCCTTCCGTCTCTGCTTCCAGGTGAGCACAGACCTCATTACCCAGATGTTCTGTCGGGTTTTATTGATTGTGTGATTTCCTTTAGTGTAAATGTGATAGAAAATTAATTATTTCACCAATTTAACAATAAAAGACTGAGATCAAAAGCTATTGAACATTTATTGTTTGACCGGGAAAGTACTGGCCCCAGAGAGAGGGGACCCTTTTGCACTTTTTAGTCTTAGGGGAAACCGGATTGAGGCCCTGTCTGGAGGTGGGATTGAAAACAGGATCTTCTTGCGGATAAAAAATGACAAAAGTGTTGCTTCACCCAAATCCCTATCAAGCTTAGTTGCAATGTAGATACTGTATGTGTATTTGTTCATGTGGTAATGTATATATAAGCAATGTAACTATAATGAAACAATTGCCACTACCAGCCAACGTCAATACAGAGTAACCAGCTCTGCCCTTGTCCACGAACTGACACTGTGTCTTTGGGCAAGGCACTCAATTCTCCTATCACTTGATTCATTGAATACTTTTGTCCTTCTACCATTTCTGTATGTATCTACCCTGGTCACTCTGTGGTGGTTGCTCACTCTGTGGTGGTTGCTCACTCTGTGGTGGTTGCTCACTCTGTGGTGGTTCTTCACTCTGTGGTGGTTGCTCACTCTGTGGTGGTTGCTCACTCTGTGGTGGTTGCTCACTCTGTGGTGGTTGCTCACTCTGTGGTGGTTGCTCACTCTGTGGTGGTTGCTCACTCTGTGGTGGTTGCTCACTCCGTGGTGGTTGCTCACTCTGTGGTGGTTGCTCACTCTGTGGTGGTTGCTCACTCCGTGGTGGTTGCTCACTCTGTGGTGGTTGCTCAGCCGTTGGTGAAGGATTCAGAGCAGGTCTGTGCTTAGTCCTCACCATGGCCTGTATCTGCACTGTCTGCTGCGCATTAGCAGACATGCACCTGCCTTCTGCTCCTCTTCTGTCCTCTCCTGTCATATCCACAGAGCACCGTCTCTTTAAATAGAGGGCAAACAGAGCGCTGCAGCTGTGAGCTCGGCTTACATTTTCACTCAAACTGCAAAGATGGAATAGAGGGGGGCTGTGTATTACAGAATATTGACGGCTCTCTTTGAAATAGAAGTATTTTGTAATGTGTTTCACAAAATGATTTTAGGAGGCTGAAATTACCAATTAAATAACAGTACAGGATCACTGTTACAAGATGACTTACGGCGAGGCAAGTTTATTTGTAAAGCACAGTTCATACACAAGGCAACTCAAAGCTATTGACAAAAAGATAGAAACATTAATCTCAAACAATGATCATAAAATTGGTTTTGTATCTTCACACATTAAAGAGAGCGCTAAACCATGGATATTGTCTAAAACGGTGAGTATTACACAAACTGTTACTGAGCTCAAAGAGTTTACTTTTCAATGTAAGTCGATTGGAGCCAGAGCGAGTTGGAGCAAAACTTTGTCCATGAGCACTTCCCTGACTTTGTCCATGAGCACTTCCCTGACTTTGTCCATGAGCACTTATTTGAGTTTGTGGTTCAGCTGGGGAGGGGTATTTCTATACAAAGTACATTTTGAAAATATTTTTGTACAAAATATTGAGCGTGACACATTTTATAGAAAAACAAATTGAGAAGATGTAGACGGCAGGTGTGAGTGTAACAGATCTGCCAAACTCCTCTCTCTGCAGAGTCACCCCCTCCCCCCTCCCCTGGCTCCGCTCCTTCCCTCCTCCCTCGTCTTCACAGAGCCTTACAGGAATACTCTGGTACGACCTTGACAACGTGGCCTCCCCCTCGAGACAAGCGTCTACTGTATCTACAGATCTGTCTTAGACTCTTGGCCTATTGACATGTGCACAATACTATGCTTATGTATCAATGTTCACACGTTTGTATGTATTCTGTTGTATTTGGTCATATGCAGTTTTGACAGAAGGCCAAAGGATATTAAAGGATCAAAGGATAGTAAAAAATAAAATAAAAGGGGTAATTTCAGATTTATTTTGTGGTTAGAGTTTCACTGTAGCAGGTTCAAAGTGTTCCACTGATTAGTTTGGTTTTATTCACAATATGACTAGTGCAGAGAATCTTTTTTAATTAGTGCGGTAATTAATGATTAGCTGGCCAATTATTATTTTGAGTAATGGATCAGTTGTTTGAATACAGAAATCTTGATGAATATTTTTCTACATTGTACTGAAACACAGCTCCAGTGATGCCCCCGAAGAACATCCTCATTGAGAGAACTTGTCACAAAAAAATGGTAAAATATGTTGTAAACACACTGCATTCTGCATGATCAAGTCTATGGAAGTTTGAAAACACAATCAGTCAAATACTAAACTAGCTATTTCAATAGTCAATTAGTCGTTTTACTTGTTCTGCCCATATTTTAAATGAAAGCAGTAAGTGTTAAAAACATGCTCAAAGTTCAAAGTTCTCTTTCATGTCCCACATTAAATCACAAATAACAAGAGGACGGGATGTCACAAAGATAGATGGATAGATGCAGCGCAAATAGTTTGTATAAAGGGCTTTGTGTCAAAAAGGTTCTTCACAGCTGTTGGGATAAATGTAGTTCCCAACCTTTTTGTCCTGCCCAATAGCGCTGTCCTGGGGGTAAAAGTTCAAACTGCAGCCTCAGGGGGTGGCCCAAAGAACCAATGTTGGAACTGGTCCTTCTCAGTACCTTATTATTTTACCTACACTCTCCCTGACACCTTACTCAAACCGAGAGTCAAACATGTGGAAGTGGGTCCTCTGTACTTCAGTGACCTCTGCCCCTGACAGAGGCCCTGGTGACAAAGAAGGATGGGTCAAATGCAGAGGACAAGTTTCACTACTGGGACAATAAAGTATAACCTTATTAAAGCTGGGGTATCTCACTTTTTTTGTTCAATAAATGTAGTTTTTTCCCAAAAGAACAGCTGTCTTCATTATAAATGATTTTTCTGTTGTTGAGGTTTGAAAGATTGATTCCTCCAGCTTTAAAAATATGTATTCTCTCATTTTCAAGCTTTTAGAAATTGTATCTTGAAACTGGACCAATATCTACTCTAGATATTAAACAAATGAAGTCAGTATTGATATGTGTCACTCAAGGCTTCTCTTCACGCTTCCTTACGCTGATACAACTCAGATGATTTAATATTATATATATTAAATCATCTATATCAAATAATATTATAATATTATTTGATTTAATAATCCGTTCTGACCTAGAGCGTTCTGTCCTTTGACACAGATATTTGCCAAAAACATTCCAAAACATATTTCCCATCTATCAGCTGACCTTACTGCCAACAGAACAACAGATAATGTGTGCTTGTATTTGAATCAAGAGTTGCGGATTAGCTAATACCTAAGTTTTATAGCTAGTTAGTGTTAATTCAGATTCCGTTCTACTTTGAGAAGTGGTTCAGAGCCTATATTAGTTCCACAGTGGGACAAATCATTGATAAACTGTAACTGCTATGTCCATAATGAAAAAATATACCATGCAACAGTGCTTTGTACAATCTCATTCTGTGGACCCCCTCCCAGGCCAAACTACAGACTTACAGGAGGACCAGGTTTCCCTATGGTCTATCCAGCCTTGTTCACACACAGATACCAGCCCCTCAAAAGTTGCAGACTGTGGCATCACCCCGGGTCGGTCGTGCGGTCCCCTGAGGTCACGCCCCGTATGTGGCGAGCGCGCAGGTTTTGAAATATTCTTTTTTTATTAGATTTGTTCCCTCCGCGGTGCGACACAGTGCGTATAGGTGTATCCTGCGGCAGTGTGTGGGCGTGTCCTCCTCTGCACCAAAGCCTCCTCCTCCTCCTCCTCCTGGATCTTTATCTCTCTCCCTTCCACACAACACTTGATGATTTTGGGCCAGATTGGACGATAAAACTGACAAGAAAAAGGCCCATGCTGCTGGAAGTGATACTCAGTTCTCCTCTGGATGGGACTTCATTTGAACAGGGTTGAGATTGGCCAATGGAATGAGATTAAGATGCATTGTTTTACTTTAGAGGAAGAATACAGAAATAAGACTTAATGTACACTGGGTAGACATGCAAAATAGACTCTATGTGCCAAGGCAACTCCTGTCAAATTAAGAACCATAATAAGTACATGTTTTTCCTACTTTTCTTCCACCTAATCAACTTTGGCCTTGCATCAGTATGATCAAAACAGCTGCATTTAGTAACAAAATAACCCAGGGTTTGACATGAGCTGGCTTCTGTAGGAACACGGTACTCACTCTCAAGCATGGGGGTGGAGACACTGTAGCTTGGAGCAGTGAGGACAGCGACAAAGGGCAAAGAAGAATGGGCCAAAATACCAGCTACAGAGTTTGGGAACCTAGTGCAAACCTCCAGTAAACATTTGATCTCTGTCAGTGTCAACAAAGATCACATTAAAGTGTTGAGTTGGAGTTTTGTGATTGGTCCAATACTTATTTTCCGCACCATTATATGAATAAATTGTTTAAAACTTAAGTGATGGAGTCAAAGTCAAATTTGTTCATATCACGACAAATTATATCCCGATACTTTATATACTGAATTCTCTCAAATTCTAAGGATCAAACTGCTCATTAATAATCACAGAAATGATTGTGAAAAAAAAGACCAATTGTTGAAAATGTGCCAATGTGGAGGGTTATTAGTCACTACATTACTTTTTTTCTGGGGTCCGTTGAAATGTTCTGGAGTGTCCCAAAGTATGTAAATTAACCTTTCTACCTTAGATATGAGCGATAGGCTAACGGGTAATGTCTGCGGAGAGGGGAGCCCACCTATCAGTACTGTAAAGCAGATACCCTCTCCATGGCAACTATAGGTTAGAAAAGATGCACAGTTTACTCAAATGTATAAATTTAACTTGACTTTACGTAGGAAAAAAATTGCAAAAATTGCTTGGGATAAGAAATTGTGTGATGCATTTGAGGTCTATTGATCGATTGAAGGAGGAGAATGAAGTAAGTATTAGTCCCATCTTTTGAAACTGCAGGAAAATCAGAAAAAAGTGGAATTATTTTGTTAAAATTTTACAGTCATTTCAAACTCCTTCAAGCTGGAGTAGCTAACGGATTTTCTCATACATTATACATCCTGTTTTTTCTCAACTTTCAGAAAAGATCCCTGTGTGTCACTTTTTTTTCTCGCTTTGGGCTGAGAATTGTCTGAGTGATGGTTGTCCTCTTGTTTTTTTTGTATTTTTCCATTTTCTGTCTGAAAAAGCTGATCTAACGAAGAGCCAGAAGCCAAAATCAAACGCATGAGGTAACTGTTTTGAGAGTGAGGGACTAGTTAGATACGTTTGTGATTATAAAGTTACATACCCAAGCTTTAATTACTCAAAATTCAACAACATGTATTTAGTGAACAACCCAAATTACCTCCACACTGTCAAAAAAATCCCCATTCTAGAACATATTTCCCCCAAATGTATTTACACACACACACACACACAGTTCATCTATGTCAATCCCACTTTATTGGAGACAGATAGAAGATACTGTATTCCTGGTCCGTACATTTGAAACGCACTCATTATTTGTGGAAAAACAGAAAAATATGTTTATATAGCACCACCAGCCAGTTCTTGTAATTGGAAAAAGTCACTCCGCAGGTTTGTGCTATGGGATTCCTCTTTCCGGCTTTGATTGCAGAGATATTGTCATTGATATATTAAAAAAAAAAGAGAAAAATTCAACCAGGACTAGCACTTTTGTTGTCAGTATTCCAGCAAAAAAAAAAAAAACATTGTTCAGTCACAGCAAAGATTAAAATGAAGTTTAAAAAAGAGAAAAACAAAACAGATTTGGGCTGCATTGAGCATAATCCAAGCAGGGAATCGGCGTCCAATGGTTATTATTATCATCATTATTATATTTAAATATTTATATGTATACATTTATATCATGTTATATACAAGTTATGGCACTTGATTACACAAAGCAACAGATAAATAAGCAGTGGCCGCTTTGGTGTGTCAAAAATACTGAACATATTTGCAATCAACATGAGTCATCGTCATCGTTGGTGTGACGCAGGCAACGCAAAAAAATAAATACAATTATAAAGATATATCCATGTCAAAGGTACATGGAGCTCAGGATGGGGTTTCTGCCATTTCTGCTGCAGCAAGATTTCAGAGCTTTGAGAGTAGTTGAGTAGTTTGGCAAAAAAAAAAAAATGGCTTCCAGACTTATAATGTAGCTTTTTTTGTGGAACATCTTGAGCAAAGGTCAATGTTTGTGGTAGTTTGACACATGATTGGATGGAAATGATTGGTACCAGCCTGCACGAGAGAGCAGCGTTTTTTTTCAGGAATTGGTTTGTGCGGTAAATGGACAATTCCTTGGAGGGATTTGTGGGTACAGCAGGTGTTTGAAAAAAACAATCAATTTTACAATGACATGATTTCTGATTTAAAGTCAATTTTTTTGAGGATACATTTGGTGGTCTGCCTTCTGTTGTCTGAATTCAAGATTTAGAATTAGAAATTTCAGTGATATGATTATTGATAATACAACAAAATGTCAAGATTTTGCAAGAATTCAGCATCTGACCGCTGACCTTTATATGTGACCGCCCTCAACAATCAGAAAAGGACAGGGTGCACACTAGGGTAGTCTTACACAGTTTTTCCAATGTGGTTTCACTGCAAATGGCAATTAAATGAATCTGAATCTGAATCTGAGGGTCTGGGATATCCATAGACGTTGATTACCCTTTGGACCATTGAAGAAGTATTCTATTTGTGTTTCTAATCTACTGTTGGGTAATTTACATTTCTTTGAGGCCCCTTCAGATGACTGCTGTTGCGACTTGAGCCTATAAGAATATATTTGATTTGGTTATAGCAAACTTTTCACATTTCCGGGACTATTCCACTGTTACATGTTACATATCAGCCCTTGGTTTTTCTCCTCCATTCAAGAGGCCATTGCTTTGACAACTCCCTCATTTGCCTCTGCAACATCAGGCATTTTGGCTCAAATGGAACAGAAAAAAAGATCTTTACAGATAAAAAAGGCTTTCACAAAACAATAATTCTGTTTTAAATATGTTTTCTATATTGAAATTTCAAATGTTCCAATATAAAAGCACAGTGTGTTTTCAAAAACCTATTCTGACGCTATGTCCAGGTGTCTTTGCATCGCTGCTTCCAAAATGGCGCATCACCATGGTAACACTATACATTTTGTAGCATGTAAACGCGTGTATTTTGACGTTTCATCCTGAGCTCTATGTAAAACAGACAGATGCGGGGACAGAGGAGAGGGGAGGTGGAACAGGAAGTACCACAGTATGTAAAAGTACAAATACAGGAAGCCTACATGACATTTGAATAGAAGAAAAGTCATCAGGCGTAGAAACCCAATAAAAGGCCAAACGTTGCAGTCAAGTCCCCATTGTTCAAGCAAGAATCTGAATTTTGGATTGGATATTTCTGCCAATGTTTGAGTGGATTTTAGGCACATACACTGCACATCAAAACATAAAAATAATGTGTCATATTGTGGACTATTCAATTTTACTCTTGGTTTAATCTTGTGTCGAGGAGAGGAGCCATTCCCTCTCAATTAAAACGAAAATTCCAATAGCATGTTCTATTGAGAAATCTGTGTTTCAGCAGACAGAATACGGTCAAATAATTCTACTATCAAGATGTTTGGTTATTCTTTACAGGGAAATATGTCAAAACAGTTTACACCAAGCTTTGGGGAATCTTAAAATCTCTTATTTTTTCTTTTTTTGTCCTTGTGAGTGGACAGCGTGAGGACTTGACAATTAATCTTTTGGTCCAATTAAAACTTCCAATCCATGTTTTTTGTTCTGTTTTGTTTGTTTTTTTATATTAATTTTCAATAAATTCCAAATCTTCTTTTAAAACATCAGTATGAATGTGTTAAAAAATAGTCTTTAAACCAATTTAAAGTACTTTCTTTCAGCCAAGTTTCGAGGACAAATTCCACAATTTCAGCAACAATCTGAACCATTTTTCTATCTAGTGAAGCAGGAACAGCCTTTTGAATCTTTTCAGTTTTCATATATTGAATTCAAAGCATTTTGTTGTTTTTTTCCCACATTTTTCCCTTCACTGAACCCAATCAGGACTACAATGCTTTTCATTTCACTTCAAGATCTAGATTTTTAGCAAATAAATCACCTTTTCATTCTCTTATTTGAAAACTGCAGGGATCAAGATGCATAAAAATGGCCTCAGAGATATGCGCAGCTTCCATGGTCTTCTTTGTGGCATATAAAGACAAAAGTACCAACAAAGTACAGACCACTTCAAAATGTACTTGTACTTTTACGTATGGACTGTGTTTTACAACTATAACGTGCATAACTGCTTGAAGAAAGTCATTTTTAATCTTAATTCCAGCACAATTTGACCGTCTTATAAGTACATTTGCAATCGTAACAAGCTTAAAATATTTCATTTTGCATCAACCATGAAAAGAGGGCATAAATTCTCATAACAAATGACAATGCAAATCTACAGTAGGCTTGATCCAATAGCAATTCATAATCAAACAATACTGAAATCATGACAAAAAACAAGCAAATTCAAGCAGTTAAGGAGTCATTCTTGTCATTTCCGTAGCATTTGTGATGTCATGTACTTGCTCTATTCCACCGCTGGAGAGATCAGGTGGCTGCGCTGTAGGAAAGCTGTCAAAAGGAGCAATGGTTTTGATTTCTTTCTTTTGTTTGGGTAAAGCCAGGCTCTCAGTGTTCACCTTGTAGTGCAATGGAGCTCCCGGGACCGGTAAAAACCCCACTAAAAAGTTGCATCAGTGCAGTAATAAATAAGTCACAAACGTGTAATCCACGCCAGAGTCTGGAACAACTCAAAAAAAGCCCACCACTGCAGAGAGCAATGTCCAGTGCAGGCCGGTCGACTGCTCACACACGCGTTTGCATCGGGGTGAGCGGACAGCGTTATGACTTGACAAGTGAAGGTATCTGCTGCTGCGATAAGGCAATTTTTGATGTTGTTTGAGGATAAAAGAAAACTGGCTTTGAGAATTATTTAAATTTGGGTTGTTTTTGTAGTTGGATAGATGCTTACTGTATGTGACCTACTATATTTTACTGATTTTAAATTAATTCTGGCAAGTACAATTTTGGCTTTAATTAAAACACTGCATTTACTGTGAATATAATTGTTTTTTGTTTATTTTTACCAAAGAAAATGTCATTAAATTTCTTGCTTACAACCAGAATGTATTCCTTTAAATTTGTCAGAAACATCTTGAAGCAAGCAAAATAAGATAAAAACATTAGGAGTAAATTCTCAAATCTATTCATTTAAAAAACAGTATATATATGATAATGTTTTTTGTTCTGTCGGTTTATGTTACTTCAGAATATTCCACATTGAGATCGATCCATCTGATTCCAAGCTGTGCAGAAGGCCTCTCCTCAAGGACAGGTAAGGTCAGTGGAGAGGAAAGCCTGCTCACTGTAAGAACACGCATCTTTTGAGCTCTACGTGTAATTGATATGGAAGCTACCGCATGTTAAGCCAATTTTTGTGGGAGCCATTCAAATTAATATAATTTTTGATATTTCTACGGATTTTTTTATTGTGAAAATACATAACATTTAACTTGTATTCCCCAATCACTAAAATAAGACATCTTCACTAAATGACCATATTGCATTTTCCATTTTAACAGTAAATGTGGTAGTTTTGTTAGTTAAGATGACCTGTCCTTGAGTTGTAAAATGAAGTAAAAATGTATTTGTATTACTATAGGGCTATGTATTAAAATATATATTCTTTTTGTATTGTATGGGCAGATATTTTTTCTCATCAAGTCATACCACGTGTGTAAGCCAGCCCGCGTACCTCTGTGGGACATTGCTTCCCTGCAGTTGTGAATAGTCCTGCATTGGCCTGTCCTGGGACTGTGGCACGCGCTCACACGTACGCAGAGTCACTGGACTGGGTGCGTCCGAAGTTGGGCACACTCATCCTGGGCAGGTCCTTGTTCCGGATCTCGTAGATGGACTTCCTGCGTGCCTGTACCCCCCTCACGGCTGTTTTGATTTTCCTCCAGCCCAGGTGGTTGAGCTCAGCTAGGTTGAGCACCACGCAGAAGCCGCTCACCGCGAACATGAAGACCAGAAACACGGTCTTCTCGGTGGGGCGCGACACATAGCACTCCACGTCCTTGATGCACGGGTAGCGGTCGCACTCGTACACGGAGGGCACGTTGAAGCCGTACAGGAAGTACTGGCCCACGAGGAAGCCTATCTCCAGCGCGTTTCGGAACACCACCTGGATGATGTAGAAGCGCGAGATGCCTTCTTGCCGACGCATTTTCGACTTGCTAGTTCTCATGGCCGAGGTCTCCTTGACCTCCAGGCAGTCCGGCTCCGCCTCCTTGGTTGAGTTCTCGGTGTTCTGCAGTACTCCGTTCACGATGGTGTTCTTGATCTTTTTGCTCTCGTCTCGCTTCAGGGAGTCCTGGTCCTTGTTGTCCAGGGTCAGGTAGACGGTGGAGAAGCGGCGCTCCTTCTGCTTGGCGGACTGATGCACGGAGTACGTGATGAAACAGAGGCTGGGCGTGCACACCATGATGATCTGGAAGACCCAGTAACGGATGTGTGAGATGGGGAAGGCCTTGTCGTAGCACGCCTGGTTACAGCCGGGCTGAAGCGTGTTGCACACGAACATGGTCTGTTCATCATCATACACCGTCTCCCCCACAATGGCCACGATCAGGATGCGGAAGATCACCACCACCGTCAGCAGGATCCTGGACACAAGCACACACACAGACACACACGTGAGCAGGCGAGGCGCGCGCCTGGCGGCACGGCACAGCGGCACACGCGGGACACGCGGGACGCGCGCGGGGAGCTGTCCGGTGCTGAAGCCGCTCCCCGCTCTGCTCAGGAGGGATACTTACTGCCCTCTGCGCGCGCATGTGTGTGTGTGTGGGGACACATGTGCGGGTTATACAGGGGGCACTGGACGGGTGTCTTGTGGACATTTGCGTGTCCGGAGCGGAGAGACAGAGACAAGAGGACATGTGTGCGTGCTCCTTCGTAGGTGAAAAGGCTGACGAGGCGCTCCCGGTGCTCCCGCGGACACAGGACAGGACAGATCCACAACACATCACAGCACTGGCACAAGACTGCTACAGGAGGCTGAGGAGCTGAGGAGAGGCGTAGGGCCACCAGCACAGACACGGGGGAATGGGGGCCATGCTAAAGAGTCCTGGAGGCTGCTGCTCTTCTCTTACCTGCCGATCATGGTGGAGTGCTGCTGGACAGCAGCCTCCAGGAGCCTCTCTAGTATAGTCCATTCCCCCATGTCTGTGCATTCGGAGCAGACGCTGGCACTGCACTGTAGTCAAATCCTCTCACTGAGGCGCGGCTCCCGCTGTAGTCCCGTAGACCCCTTGTCCCTAGTCCCTGTCCACTGGGCTCACAGTCCAACCCGTCCACACGCGTCTGAAAGGCGCATCTGAGTGAAGCTGGTGCCTCTCTGTCCGTGCGTCGGGCACTCTGGTTACGTGTGGAGCGCGCGGCAGCAGTCCTGCTGTGTGCGCTCCCACGTCGCGTCCACGCTGCTGCCTGTCATGAGGCAGTGATCAGGGTAAGCCCTCCTATTCTCGATCTGCAGATCACTGAGGCCGCTGCGTCTGCATACAGGAGGCAGGAGGCTGGACGCAATGTCTTGCCAGCGCTAATCCGCCTTTAAGTAGTCTCCCCTCCCTCCCTCTCTCTCCCGCCCGCGCCGCGTCACGCCCGTGCTCAGGTCTGTGGAGCTCAGCAGGAGCACAGGACGAGCATAGACACTTTCACTAGTAACGGGCACGCGCACAGAGCCTCCGCGTTTGAGTTTGGGGTGTCAAAGTCCGGTAAAAGCGTCACATCACAGTCTGCCCCTTGCCCTCTCTCTCTCTCACTGGGGACTGGACTTCTGTGTCCAGTGCGTGTTCGTGAGTCCGCGTGCGCACAGCCCCCTCTCGCGCTCGTGCAGTGGACTGGTCATAAAACACGTTCTGATATGGCTCTTGTTGATCATGTACATGCTACCAGCACATACAGTATTTCCCGCAGAGTCCGCTCACACACAGTGCAGTTCCGCTCCGGTCATTGACGTGGGTTCGGTTTGTCTCCTCCCGCCGCTAATCTGCTCCGTGCGTCTGTAATACCTGCGCCATTCATCCACTCTATTCTGGACTGACTCCAGTTTGATCAAAACACTACAAGGTATCAAAAGTAAGGTACTACTTAAGTAACCACTTTATACACAGCGTGACCAGGCCTATAGGCTACTAATAATTATACTATTACTTCTGCGATACAAATATTGATTACCATATTACAACTATTCGTAACATTTATATGGCTATAATATCTTACAACCATACTACCCCCACTACTGCTATTTATACTACCAGGCCTACTACTAATACTTCTGTCATCCTATACTTGCTATTGTATTATGTGGTAATGCTCCCAATATAGGAACTAAACTAAACAAAAAAAGTACCTGGAATTGAAAAAAGGTTCGTACAATTTGAAAACGCTGCATGACTGCGTCTATAGCCTGGTACTATTTTAAGTACAATATTTGTAACTGCTACTTTGTAATTATCAACAGAATAATTTGGAGCCCTCCTCCAGCTCATATGTAAAACCATGAAGACCATCATTGTGCAAAGTCCAGCCTGTGGGCTAATTGCAGCCCTCTCTGGCATGTTATGTGGCCCTCTGAGATCATAAACACAAGTTAATAGTGTCATCAAGCCAACTTCAGCTCCGCTAACATAGGCTAGCGATGCTATTTTTATTGTGGTCCACAATATGACGCAAATGTAGCTTGTGAGAAAGTAGTCTTTCCGTAAAATATGAATAAATATAATACCTCATTTTAAAGCTTACACCTTGAATCCAGTTGAAAAGGTTTTACCATCAAGGTTGTTGCCCCTTGGATAAGTCTGGTGAACTTAAGTGGTCATTTTCTAACAAAATTGGATTCCCCTATCTGGTATTCCAAACTGGATTCTTCTCGTGACAGAACAGAACCATTCAAAAGAGCAGCCGACCAATCTGTGCATTTCTTCATTTATTACAAACCTATACATCTTGGTAAAAATTGCACTTGAGTGTAAACAAACATTTGGGTGAGGACACAGAGCAGAGGGAAGGATGAAGGTCTGGTCTCAGAGGGACTTCCGGTGGTCGGTCACTGATCCACCTCTGCTGGAAGCTGGACAGGGAGGCCAGGATCGAGCGGAGGGCCTGGTCTTAGAAGCACTTCCGGTGGACAATGGACGGTCCTGCCTCGTCATACTCCTGCTTACTGATCCACATCTGCTGGAAGGTGGACAGGGAGGCCAGGATCGAGCCGCCGATCCACACTGAGTACTTCCTCTCAGGGGGAGCGATGATCTAGAGGGAGGGAGGCAAGTAATTACGTATTTTTACTTTAATGATCATGCATATTATGTATACAGCACCTTCACTTCACATGGCATTCTTCATTCACTCTTTACAAAGTGGTAGTAAACAACTACTGTAGCCACACCCACACCCACCCACACACACATACACACACACATACACACGTACTAGAATGTAGATGAAGTGTTGTCTAAGGACAAAACAATAGTTTGGCACTTTACAGCCACCCCATTGTGACATGAGGCCGTATTCCCAGAGGTCTCCCATCACAGTACTAACCAGTCCTTTCCCTGCTTAATACATACTGCTTTATTATCAATCAATCAATCAATCAACGTTTATTTGTAGAGCGCCTTTCCTACACAAGGCAATTATAGCAGTAGTATTTTCGCCTGGTACTAAGACTGGCCAGTTTGGACAGGCCACAGTTTGCACGTGTCCTCCTCACCTTGATCTTCATGGTGGAGGGGGCCAGGGCGGTGATCTCCTTCTGCATGCGGTCAGCGATGCCGGGGTACATGGTGGTGCCGCCGGACAGCACGTTGTTGGCGTACAGGTCCTTGCGGATGTCGATGTCACATTTCATGATGCTGTTGTAGGTGGTCTCGTGGATGCCCGCCGACTCCATGCCTGCGTGGAAGTGGAATGTGTTTGTATACACATGAAAAATATAGTTAGAGATGACCGAGAACCACTACCATTTTGTGAAAGAAATGGGAACAGTTGTAAATGTATATGACGGGAAACATTTAAAACTTCAGAGTCAGAACACATGACTATGAAGCACACTCAAATCCTAGGACTGTTGGGAAATTTCACTGTGCGACTGTGCTGTGTCGGCCACAGTGCCTCTACAGGCCAGAGGCGGTACGTCTGTCTACACTCATGTCTTTTGACAAAACTCTATTATGAACGCAAACTGAGAATAATACAAAGTTGCAGCTTTGGGAATCTGCCTTTAGAGTCCAAGGATATGTCTTATGTGTTGGAAAACCAAAAAATAAGACAGAACAGGTGGGGGGACAGATTTGTTCCAGAAGTTCCAGATATTGAAATTGTTGTAACATTGTTGAACAATGTATTAAAAAGATGATTGTTAATATTATATCTTTGTTAAAGCAGAGAATAGGCAGCCGGTAAACAAAAAACCTGGAACAATACAAATGTATGTAGCTACAGTTTAATCAAACCTTTAATTTTAAATGCAATGACTTTTGAAATAAGTGTAAAGGTTTTGAACATAGTAGACGTTTCGCACCGATGAAGGAGGGCTGGAAGAGCGTTTCTGGACAGCGGAACCTCTCGTTGCCGATGGTGATGACCTGTCCATCAGGCAGCTCATAGCTCTTCTCCAGAGAGGAGGAGGTGGCGGCGGTGGCCATCTCATTCTCAAAGTCCAGCGCCACATAACACAACTTCTCCTTGATGTCGCGCACGATCTCACGCTCCGCTGCAGAGGCACAGGGCGAGTGAGTCCACATGAACCTGAATGTTTTATACAGGAGCAAGAGCATGACGCACCTGTGGTGACAAAGGAGTAGCCTCTCTCAGTGAGGATCTTCATCAGGTAGTCGGTCAGGTCGCGTCCGGCCAGGTCCAGGCGCATGATGGCGTGTGGCAGCGCGTAGCCCTCGTAGATGGGAACGTTGTGGGTCACACCGTCACCAGAGTCCAGCACGATACCTGTACACAGCACACACTTCAGATAAGTCCGTGGATAATACTTCATTCTGAGGATGGAAGCACTTTGTGTTTGCTTCAACAGAAACTGGGCAGTGGTGACGGGAAAACAAGTCTCTCGGGACTGATTTAGCCCAAACTCTGGAGGAGCTGCAGACCTCCACAGCTCATCTGGGGATGTCGACATGGGGTCACACAAACTAGTCACACATTACACAAATGTACTTTAAGTGTGTCCAGTGTTCACCCGTTGTCCCGATAGGTCAATTACTATAGCAGCTACACATCATTACTCTGGCACTGCTAACCTGTCTCACAATAGTCACATGCTGCAATGATAGGAACTTGGTAGCAGTGGTTAGCCATGCTTCTAAGTGAATTCATTTGTTGAGGTTAGTACTGTTGAGGTTTATTAAACAATAGAAAGTTTTTGAGTTACAATTGTTGCAAATAAATATATTTTCAATTTTTTGTTGATTCAATTTATCAACAAAAACACATATTACTGTATTCACTTGTACATGTAAAATCTTAAACTTGTACAGGTTTACTTGAGTAAGGGAAAGATTTCAGCACTTTTACTTTTAGCAGAGTAGAGTACCTAGCTTTGTAACTTTTGATTAAAGATGCTTTATCCATGAATCGACCAAAAAAGGTATTAGTTCAAAGAGAAGCAGTTTTTAACAGTCTTCATCAGGCTGTGCACAATGTGACATCATAAGACCAAAATAATACTTACATAACTAATACTTAATAACAATATCACTTGTAAATGTGTGGCTGAATCCCTATTGGAGTGTGCCATTGCCATTGTAAGTAACAGGAAGTCACAAACTAGGAAAACTGCTTTGGCTTTCGGTGAAAACAAATAATCATAGAAGGCATGCATAAAAATAACAAAGCAATCTTCTCACCGGTGGTTCTTCCGGAGGCGTACAGCGACAGCACGGCTTGGATGGCTACATACATGGCGGGCACGTTGAAGGTCTCGAACATGATCTGGGTCATCTTCTCCCGGTTGGCTTTGGGGTTGAGTGGGGCCTCTGTGAGCAGAGTGGGGTGCTCTTCGGGGGCCACTCGCAGCTCGTTGTAAAAGGTGTGGTGCCAGATCTTCTCCATGTCGTCCCAGTTGGTGATGATGCCGTGCTCAATGGGGTACTTGAGAGTCAGGATGCCCCTCTTGCTCTGCGCCTCGTCCCCTACATAGGAGTCCTTCTGGCCCATGCCCACCATCACCCCCTGCAGACAAAACACAGGATGTTTACAAGTGAAGAGAATATGGACTACGCTCATGGATCTATTGAGATAAGTGGATACATGCTCCAAGGCCAAACCCTGTACTGCAGCCTGAAAAATATACTTTACTGCGGAAAAAAACGTTAAATATGAGGCATGAGAAGTCGAGTGGTTTTTATCTTAATTTGAGAACATTTTGACTGGCTTAAAACATGATTGCCAATGGGACAAGCTTAATTATGTTGTTTGAAGGCAGTCAAAATGTATTCAACTTAAGGTACATTTTTCCAAATGTTAGATTTTTTTAATCACTTTTTGAAATAAAAGTTCTCTCAGACGGATTGTCCTCAGCTGAGAGCGAACCTACAGCTTTTATAAAGGTCTGATTCTGTGGGTATTTTGATCTTCTTTATCTTTCTGAACTGTTTTCTCTTTAAAAATAAATCAGTTTTTAAATATCTACACTTTTGTACAACAAACTTATGCCACTCAATTGCATCACCACTGCGCTCCGACTGCATCTGTCCCTGAGGACCAGAACGAGCTAAATGGCAAGAATTCTGCTATATTTTTGGATACTGCCAATGTCCAAACTGTGTCCGTTTGAGCACAGGCCACTGATGTGAACGGGCCACGATCTTAGAGACCTGGATCTTGTAAATAAACAACCATTTTTTCCCCTAAACGTTTGGAGAACTGCTCGAGACAGATTGTTCTAGTCTGAGTCTTAAGTCTTGAATCCAACTTTTAAATCTTCAGAGTCAAGTCATAATATAAACCTCTCCTTGCCACAAATGTAAACATCTAAAACCACAGTTCAAGTCCTGTGTGTGAGTGACCTGGTGGCGAGGGCGTCCCACGATGGAGGGGAACACTGCTCGGGGCGCATCATCTCCAGCGAAGCCCCCCTTCACCAGCCCAGAGCCGTTATCGCACACCAGCGCAGTGGTATCTTCATCGTCACACATGCTGGAGGTCTGCACACACACACACACACACACACACACACACAGTCACTATGACTGCTCTGTGGGCTTGGGAAAACATCTCAAAGATTTCATAATTTCTTTTGTTTCTTTGAATTAAAATACAATAGTAAATTATAAGTAGTTTTACTCAAGTACTTTACTTTAGTTGTTTTTTTGGCATCTGTGCTTTTTTACTTTCATTCCACACTTTTAAACCCACATATCAGTACTTTAATCATGTTATTTACGTTGCAGATGAAGACACAACTTTAAAAAAACTGCAAAGCTGCAGGAGAAAGTTTGTTACAGAAGAAAACGGGTGTGAAACGGTTTAAAAGTTCAGAGAAGGTTTACAGCTGGATAATTGTCTAACCTGAACTGTAAAATAGTTCCACAGGCAACGCTCTAAAGTTTTACTTGAGTATGTACAAAATCCTGGAATTTCAGTACTTTAATTTCAACAGAGGTTCTCTGGTTCCACAGATATTAGTGTCTGCAATAAACATCGTTTTGAGTTCAAGTATGCAAAAGAAAAATGTTTTCTTATGAAGACAGGATGTTTGACCTCATTTGTTCACAACGTTCTCTCTTTTGGGAAAGTAAATGTTTTATTATGAAACAAAAAGTGATATACCACATCTGTACTTCAGTTGTTGTTTGTCAATTCAAAATAAAATTATTAACAACATCATATAATGTATAGTTGTCTAATGTAAATATCTAGCTCTTTTAATCATACTGTATGTCTCAATATATGTCAATCCATTTTACCAATTTGAGACAATCACAAGTTACAGATCATATCTGCGACAAGGCAAGCTTGGAAAGAAATGTTTTTTTGGGGGGGCGGGGGGGGGGGGGGGGGGTAAATACAAGCATCTCACAGTGTTACTTTTACTTTTCCTTAAAGAAAATGTGCACTGTAGTTATACGATTATGTAAAGTCCCGTTACAAATGCACAACTGCGCATACCCCACGAGGATCTTTAAACTTTCTTCCAAACTATTCAAATCCAAGAAAAGCGAGAGTGTAATCCGTCAAAGAGCAGTTGCACCTGTGCGAGTGAGCCTTAGTTTGTTTAAAGTTAGGGTACCTAACTTTCAAACCACATAAAGTTGATCTATAAGAAAATCGCGACACGAGCTCTCAAAACTGTTTGGATCTATCGAAGTTTCCCCATGCATGTGTCATTGTCCTCTGTCACATCCTTAGATCAGCTCTTTGAGACAGAAAGAGGAAAGAGGCCAAAGCGTCAAATAATAACTCACAGAGCTCTTTCACACAAGAATGCAGCAGATAATAGATAACATCTATTCTGCATGTTGTGATATGATGTCCATAACATTTATTTTAACAAGACTTCTACAAGACTAACATGCATTATTTATCAGAGAAAAAAAAAGTCAGCGCGCGTCTCCAATAGCAACAGTCCAGTACTCACCAGTGCAGCCCAGTCCTTATCACGCACACACAGAGCAGGGGTCCCTTCAGTCCGCCCGGGGCCCAGCTCTTATAGCTTCTCTCCGCGCGTCTGCAGGGAGGCTCCGCGCTGCGTAAAAACCTCTCCATATTTGGCAAAGCGCGGCTCCATTGACCACAGCGCACCATGAATGGAATGGCGCGGGCAGGGGAGTCCGTGCGCTCTCATCCCATGTAAGGAGCCCAGACAAAGGCTTCGTCCACGGGTGTAAATCACGTCAAAGCTGCTGCGGTGAGGCTGGAGGATGGAGATGGAGACTTGCAGGGCCACTTCAGTGAGAAAAGATTTTTTATGGGAGATAAAAGTTATTTCATGTCCAAATATGTTTAAAAGTAACTGTTTTATTCAACTATGGATGCATGAGTGGTTTGGGGAAAGAGATACTGTTAAACTTTGCTGTAGATAAAACATTTGAAAGTTGTATTTGCCTAACCTTTTTGTTTGCCTCATTAAATACAATACATGTCCGACAAACAAACTGTGTTCTTTTGAAAACATAAACGTGAAGACCTCTTACTATGAAGAGGTGAAACATAACCACATTTGACCTGATTTTTGGCTTTTTTGGAAACTTTGGCTCTCTAATCTCTAACTCTTGAGTGCAGCTGGGCCGACAGACTTAGCTACCCTTTGTCAGGAGAAGAAGAGGTTCTACAGAAATTCAGGTTACTGAATGTCTCCATTGTGAGATAATAAAGTATCATCTCATCTCTTTCCTTCAGCTGCTGTCAGACTGTACAATGAGAACTGCTGTATGAGAATGTGTAATATGTTTCCACAAGTGTCCACTGACGAGATTTGTCACTTTATACACAGTATTTATTCTGCCCACGCCCTGCTAATTTACAAGGTGAACTTAAAGATACAGTCAGTGATTTTTTTCCAGACGCATTTTTTTGAATATTGTGGGAAAATGTCCATAAACCCTAAAAGTAGTAAAGTTATCATGGGTTTTCAAACAGTAATGGAATTGACCAGGTGCCTGTAGTCTCCAAAAATGAATACGAATATTTTGGAGCGGACCGAAATAAACCAATGGGATTTGTTCATCCCCAACGAACCAATGAGATGCTTTAACCCCATTCACCCTCTTCCTGTTTCTCGTGAGGTGAGTTTCACCTGAGTGATCGGATTTTCTAAAACCTAAAAGGGCTGAACAGAAAATGCCAATTTCACGTTTGCCACCCACTCTCAAAACCCAAATGCTGGATGTTTGGTCTGGTGGAGAGGCGAGGGGAGGGGGGGAGTGGTTTCAAGTTGGTGCTACGGCTAAGCTAACAAAATCGCTTATGGAAAGATAAGAATATGTTCCTTCTCTTTCCATATTACTTGATTGTTGTACCTGTGGTTGTTAAATTAGCCCCAGCTACAGTACAATGCTGTGTGTGTGTGTGTGTAACATGTGCGAAAAATACTTGTCCCTATCAAATAAAGAAGAAGACATACTTTATTAATCTCACAACGGAGAAATTCAAGTTCGATGAATACACATATACTGTACATCTAGGCATGCAGTCTACAATTACTTCCGCGCTCCTTCAGGCAAAGTGGGGTGAAGTGTCTTACCCAAGGACACAACGACAGCAGACATCAGTGAGAGTCGGTGGAGAAGGTCTCATGGTGGGCTCGAACCCACGACCTTCAGGCTCAAAGGCTAATGCTCTACCCCCAATAAATTAATACACCCATCCATCCATCCATTCTCTTCCCCTTAAAGTGATTGTCTGGAGTTTGTCAGAAAGAGAAAGAGAGAGGTACAGGATTTGAAAAAAACGAACCAAGCTCCCTCCCCCTTCTGATTGGTCTACACCTACGTTTCCGTAACACATTTAAATGTTTATCAGAGAACACATTATACTTATACATTATTAATACACATGAACGAGGTTTTCAGAATTATTCGTTAACGTTTTTACCATAAAAACCATAAATAATGGTTTAATGCACGAAAAAAGCGATTGCGGTAAACCCGGAAGTAGCTATTATCATGAATTGAACATTATAGGAATATCTGCAGAGGATCTGATTATGGATATAGGTTCAGTATATAAATGATTATGGATATAGGTTCAGTATATAAATGATTATGGATATAGGTTCAGTATATAAATGATTATGGATATAGGTTCAGTATATAAATGATTATGGATATAGGTTCAGTATATAAATGATTATGGATATAGGTTCAGTAAATGGGTAACTCAGCGCAGACGTTCAGAATTCTTTGTTCAGTTTTCATGTAGTTCCAGAGCCTAATGGAGGCTTGATTCGGAGGCTCCGTGAAAACAAACAACTGAGCATGAGCAGCTGCGAGCATCAGCGCTGATGATTGACAGCCCTTGGCATCACTTGATTGGTTAAACTGGACGGCATTGTGGATTTCTAGCTATAGCTAAGACAAGGGAAGGCGGGACTTAACTGTAATATTAGAATTTATAAAATGACTTATTTTATATCAACATTTAAGGCCAGGAGGTCAATTTAATACAAATCTTAAAATGTGTAATTCATGTAGAGTTCCAGAATATCACTTTAATCCATTTCTGGTCAGGGGGGTGGCCAGAGAGTAAGTAAAATGTTAGAAACCAGACGACAAACGGCAGTCTTTGTCTTGAAAACTAGATTTTGTTTGAAATGGGAAGATATATGGGGAAATATATACTGCGTTTTATACTTTTAGAGGTTGAGTTCATGAAAGATGGAAGCAAACACCAAAGCCCTGCGGTTATATTTTTGTTCAGTGTACTGTATGTATAATGTATATTTTCTGAAGTCCTCCTAAACCAAGACAAGGAAAGCTGTTTACCAGCCCCTAACGTCAGGATTGGGAGCTGCTGTCATGTGCGTGTGTAGAAGCAGAGCACATGTGGCCAGCTGCTCTGCCTCTTCATCCTGAAACAACAGGGAAATCCACCACACTGACTGCAAGTGCTGCCGACAGGAGGGGGAGGGGAGGGTCCAAATGGGGAGGATCCTGTGTAACAATCACGGTCAGACTTTGTTTCAAACACGTTATACACAAAATGCATGATGGTACAGTTGTGCACAGGGGGTCCAAGAATGTGTTTGCAAAGAAATCTAGAAAAAAAACAGTATTGTAAGAGACACATTTGGGCACTGTGTGAATGAACGCATGCTTAGCTGGTGGAGGAGTGATGTATGGTGGCTGTGGGCGTGTGCGTCTGTGTGCGTCTGTGTGTGTGTGTGTGTGTGTGTGTGCGTGTGTGTGTGTGTGTGTGTGTGTGTATGGGCACGGTACATGAGATTATGAATGGGCATACACCTGCTGAGGCCGAGGACAGGAGAGAGGTCTGTTTGGCTCTCCATCGTTATTGTTGACTGCTACTATAATTTTGTTTTGATTTACTTTTATCCTATTTTTCCAGCTGACGTTTTTTCATGCATTTTTGTTCTGTATATTCACACATTTTGCCTGTGACCGCAGCATTTAATAGTTAAATTAAATCGCAACTGGATCCATAGCCTTGTCGTTGATTTCTATACTAATACTTGTGTACCTGCGTCTTACACTTATTATTATCGGATCCATCTCACCTCTGGGTTTTAGGCAACATGGTAGGAGCTATAACAATATCACAGATTGGAATGGAATGAATTAAAATGACCATTTCTAAACTGATGGGCAATTAGAATGCATTAACCCTTTAATGAATTCATCCTCACCGTTTGAGTTACTATAGTAATCTGAAGTCTGGAACTGAAATCTACCTCTTTGGGGCATCTCACATGGTTTTTGGCACTTTTACCATCAAAATGCATCTCAACCATTTGGTAAAGGCCTACAGTACATCTTAGAAAATCCATACAAAAAAACATTACATTGCTTACTTCAAAGAGTGAACATTAAAGGGTTATCTGTGTTCATCATGTCCTCAAACATATTTATGTAGGACTTTAAAGTTCTGAAATAATTTCCAGAGTAGGGAAGTATGGATTAAAGACAGCACACATATCTAGATCTAAAGAAGCTTTCAGAACCAGAGGAGTAAAACATGTAAGAATGGAAAAAAGGTCTGTACAACATAAAGCCTTCCATCAATATTGTATTTACTGCTTATTAAGAGATTATTTCAGTTGTTGGCCTTAATCTGGTGCCCAATAAGTGAGAGCGACGAGCTCAGTCACGCAGGATGAGCTTATTTATTTATTTATTGTTTATTTGGTTGGGACAGTACATGTTAATGAACACATCACTCCGGATTGTGGCCATGAGCGAATTTCCATCCGTTGTCGCACTCAGAAACACACACTCATTCATCCTGAACTATTGTACAGGTTTTTAGTGGTAGGGAAAACCGGAGTACCTGGAGGAAACCTACCCAGACACGGGGAGAACATGCAAACTCCACTTAGAAAGGCCCTGTTCCGACTGGGATTTGAACCCAGAACCTTCTTGCTGAGAGGCGAGAGTGCTATCCACCTCTATGTTGAGGGAGAAGTTTCTGGATTGCAGGAAATGGTAGATCTGTTGTTGCAATCCAGATCCTCCCAAACAACTGATTTTCTGTGTATCTAGCTGTTATTCTAATTAAAGTGCTTTTTTTGACGCTCAAAGATGACGATTAGTTCGTGCCCATCTAACCATCCCCCACCCATTCTAGGCAATGTGGTTCAAGTGTCTTGCATCGACAGTTTGGCACTTTGGCCCCACTGTGGCACCTGGTTTTCCCCGAGGTCTCCCATCACATCACTAACCCAGCCCTGGTTGCTTCACAGCTGAGGTCTGCCAGGATCAGGCTTTCACATGCAGGAGACGCCACAACTACAGTGTTTACTTCTTTACCCTTTGACAAATCGCAATCACTTTGAATACTTTCATTATCATATATCCAGAGTATTTTTCAGGTGCACTAAAACTGAAAGTACACATTCACACACTTTTTCACAGAACAATTATGAGTTTGATTGTCTTTTCTTACATGATTGCTTCTCCACTGTCTCCACAAGTAACTGTCACTTAGTAATGCGCCTTATCGACTGTATTTTAATATATTCTTTAGTAACTTTTTATTTGAACTGTATATTAGTATGCTAGTTATATGACTGTAATGTCAAAGACTACAGGTCGAAATTAAACTTAAACTTAAAAG